CCAAACCCCAACCCCCAACCCCAACCCCCAACCCCAAACTCTAAACCCTAAACATTAAACATGTGATAAACATGTGATAAACAAAAATACATGTGACAGACAAACAAAATGGAAGATCAAAAGCGAAATTTAAAAAAAAAATTATGGACCTACAACATTTTTTGTTTGTCACATGTATTATTGTTTATCACATAGGACATTGAGAGAGTGTCAGGATAAAAGAAAATACCAATATTATTATTATAATTTTAGAAGGACTAATTTAATAAAAGAATTTGAAGGACCAAAGACAAATTTGAAATATTTTAAAAATACTAAAAATAACTTACCCTATAATTTATTGAGATACTTTATGAATAATAAAAAGATCATAATTTAATTTATTAAGATTTTTATATAATTCATAAAATCATTAAAAAAAATCACACTCCTTGCATTGTATTTTTGATTACTAGTGTCTATTGTTTTATTTATGTATTATTTACTTATGACATAAAGGGGTTATATCATAATAGTTGAAAAATAAAATATAACTTCGATATTATTAGCCGAAAATGCTGTGATGAGTGATTGGAAAAACTAACATAATTGCAATTTTTTGAAGGAAAAGAAAAAAAAAAATATGATGAATCCAACTTTTACTTATCTCACTATGACAACAACAAAAAAAATTATTTTATTTCATATTTTAATGAAAAAACTAATTGTTATCACAACTTTTTAAAATATTTTTTTTCCTTAAAATCTAAAAAGACAATCACACGAGCTTTAAATCATCATCTCTACTTATTCACACATTTTCACCTTATGTGCTAACTCCCATCTTTTAGTCTATCCTTAAATTTATTGTTTCTACTTTCTCCGCTGTTAGTCACAGGACCACAGCATCTCTAGAAGATAAACAAACACGTTAAAAAAGGGGGCTGTTTTAGAATTGCCCAGCCAAACTAGTACAGCCACAATCACACTGTTACAATACCCACATAACCTCGCTACAAGCACAGCTACAAACTTGTATCGGCATTTGATCAAACAAATTACACTATATTAACAGCTACCGGCTTCCCCCTACCCATTGAAAATCCTCTTGTACCATCTGGCATTCGGGGCCCGGGGGGTTGCTTCGCAACAACTTGATCACTGAAAATTGTACTATTTGAAGGGGGTGTTCCCACACGATTATTCTGATGACTATGAACTCGGCCACGTCCCTTACCCCGGCCACGGCTACGACCTTTCCTTTGCCCACTCTCTTTGTCATAACCATGCTCTTCCCCCTGCTAATTTTAAAGAATTATGGCCTAAAGCATAGAACAGACAAATGCCAGTGCTACTTGTCCTGAAACAACCAGTTATAAATTTTTGCATGACAATTGAATAGGACACCAACATATGCTGTGAATGATGCAATAAATTAGAATTCGTTATTCTCAACATAACTGTGTTTCAACCATGGCATATTGTCAAAATGACCCCAAAGCATATATGTCTTTTTAAGAACTCAAACATGTTAGCAAGGGTTCTTAAACACGTGGGGGGGTCGTTTCCAAGCACTGACGCACTCACAAAAACATGTTAGAGCCTTTCTTAAGGGGTTAACAAACAAGGGATAATACAGAGCATATGGCATTAACTTGCATTAGACAAAACACAGGTACAACACCATACATACTTTAGATGTTTTCCAATCAAATTAGAGTTTTATCTTGGTAGCATGTTGACCTTCAACACCAACCTTTATTACATGCATTACAAGTAAAATTCCAATTTAAATTAAAGAATAGTACCAAAAGCATCATACATAATAATCCTTTTGTTAATTAAGCCTGACATTGTAGGAATTCAAGCATCCAATTAACTTGAATGGATACATCATCATACATAATTCTTGTAATTATTTGCTATTATGCAACGAAACTATTATAAATCATGAACAATCAGTCAATTAAAATAGCAAAAACACTTACCACATGTTCATGCAGCTGAGTATCGGGAAAGGATGCATCTTCTAATTGTTTCTCAAATGCATGTGGCTCAGACACATAAGTATAATCGTCATCACAGCTAAATTCAACATCAAGTCCCTTCTTTCCCCGTCCTTGAGAAGGTTTAGACTGGAAATAAAAAAATCCGAAACATAATAATACATCTAAATCACAAGGACCACTACCTATGTGATCTTTTTGTTCTTCAAAAATAAAAAATAGCAAATAGTCTAAAAGCTTCTGGAATGCCCCTCAACATTTATGACTTATGAGAACACCCAGCCAGATTAGAGTTTTTTTCTTTCATTCAAGTTTTAAAAAGAACAGAATATGTATGTCAACAAGGCCATACGAGCAACAATTTGTAAATGCCCGCAAATAGCCCTTCAAATCTGCATTTGATTGTATAAACAAAACATAATTGGGAAACACTTGCATAGAAGTAATGAAGGAAAGGAACTTTTTAATGTATACCATGCGTCTAAGCATTAAGCGAACCCGGAGGCCACTACGCCAGTTTCCCTCGTCATTCAGCTCAGCAACCTGTCAAGGGTTCTCAACTCATCACTACATGGCCAAAAATGCCATCTAGTTAAAAAGTAACCTGAATTAGTACCCTGCCAACTCAGCAAAGTATTGGTACTTACTGCTCTCTCAGCCAGCTCAACAGATTCATATTCAACAAATGCATGCAACTGGAACAAAAAGTTGTATTAGATTCATTAAAATACCTCCTCTTGATTAATACTCTAAAAAAAAGAGAAAGAATCCTATCACTAGCACATTTCACTCACCAGCATAAATTCATACCCAACATTAAATTTTCCGACAAAACAGTAGCATGCAACACAGGTGGTCAAGGCTATAACATATAAAATTACCAACTGAAAAATTTATAAAATATTGCAAAGTTCAAAATAGAAAAACAAGCTTGAAATATAATTATTGATGTGCAGCCAAGCTCCTGTGACCAAAACTGAACACACAAGTAAAATCCCCCAGATGAATAGAATCATGGTACATAATCACCTATCTTATATAGGAAGCAATTAAATTTCCCCTAAATGACTGAAACAGAAAATAATAAGCATATTTAGATAGCTTTGTTCAGTGGAAGGCCTCAAACAAATTTCATTAAAACTTGGAAACCATCCTCTGGAGTAAAATTAAAGGGTCAATTTCATCAGTAGTACTGAATTTCTCGTGTATGTTGGATACAGTATAACCCACATGTTAAAAATTGATGTAAAACAAAAACAGGATAATAATTCCAATGGAACAACCTATAGTACATGAATTCATGCATGCATGAATCCGTATACCTTGTTAGATAAAGGCATGCCATCAACTTTTCCCAATCTTGAAGCAGAAGAAGCCCCACTATTGGAGGTTTGAGGTGGACAGGTACGGATAGTCTTCACACTGCCACATGCCCACATAAAATGTATGGTAACTAGAATTCAAAGTTTTACCAGATGTAACTAACTTAAAGTAAAAACATCCATAACAAATGTTATTCAATGAAAACCACAATAGTACCTCCCAACTGCTGAAAAAACCTTCATAAGATTCTGATGGCAATGATCCTCTGGTAAGTTTTCAGCTACAACAATGCGAGACTACCAGAAAAAATAAAAATTGCTAAATGAGAGAGAAACAGAAAGGAGAAGCAGAAATAAGACCAGTCATCATTAACAACACCACATTTGACTAAAATATTTTGAAAAGAATACATGACATGCATGAATCAAGAAAGAACCCATCGAATGATATTGTCTTGCACAACTTAAAGACAGTCACAAGATTGTAGTAAAAATTACTTGTAGCTCTTCTATATCAGACTCGGTCAGGGGATACTGGCGTTTGATTTTCTTTCCATCTTCACTAACCACCTGGAGAATTCAACAATGATGTATATTTAAAAGCAACACGAATAAAATTATGAATAAAAAAAAATACGGAGTAAAATATAAGTTGAAGAGTAATATTAGCTCATGAAGCAAGAAAGTAACAAACTTACAAGTTTTGATGAGTTCCTCAAAACAGTTGCAAGTTGAGAGTGACTGGTTATGAGGGCCTTAATCTTCTTGAAAGATGCAACAACAGATATAGGCACTAAATAATTTTAGAAAAGCATTAGAAATAATACAAAACAATAGATCATAACAAATCCAAGACCATCTACCGAAACAAGAATCAATATATGACTTTGTTTAATATGATAATCTTGGAAGACCCAACATGCTGTTCCTTAAAGAGGACGAAAAGAGTAGTGTCAAACTGACATAGTATGAATTGTTTGGGCCCATAGTAATTCAGTCACACATTAAAAAGAAGGAAACCGGAAAATTATTATCTTACCAAAGCCCTCTGGATCTTTGTTGATGAACCTCATCAAGTGATCGGTAGTAGCTAAGTTTAAATCACTGAAATAATACTCCACCTACAAATTATTATATAAAAATCCCAACCAAAATCCTAGTCAAGCTGTGATGCATGAAGGGCAAAAAAGGTATAAATGCATTTTAGAGAAGTATATCAAGATGAACTTAAATAGATATATGTTAAAAAATATATAAACTTCAAATGATTATTATTCATTCTCGAATTCTGTCTCCCAACATTAGGTACACAAAAGCTTAACTTCTCAAATTCCTCCTGAATTTCATGAATCTTAAATATGCATAATATTTTGCAACACCAAAAAATACAGTATTAGTTCACAGGGATTCATTTTCTATATTATTCTAATGTAACTAAGTGTGTTCACAAATTTTCTCGTTTACCTTTCCAACCCTAGGACTTTGCTCCTCTAAAATTAGGAAAGTACACCTCAGAGGAAACCGTTGATTAAAAAATTAACAGTTGAGATTGTAACTAACATCACAAAATGTACTTCGTTTTACTTTTATCACAATCTCAACTGGCGATTTTTATAATCAATAGTTGTAAGGGCATTTTATCCTTTAAACTGCACTCTTTCCCTTTAGAGGATCCGGATCCCCATCCCTAACTTCACACACAGAAGAAGCCACACTAAGGAGGGTGGAACAAGTCATAAACCCCAAAAGTCAAAACTATGAAATAAAAGCAGTAATACATGGAAATACCCCTCGCCTCCCTCTCACTTTCGTGGAAATTAATTAAAGCAAAATTAATATTTCAGGTACGAAATATTTAAAATGTTAGTAGTCCTAATGACTATGTATGTGTATTAAATTATACACCATGTGACAACTCTAAAATATGAGGCATCATATCGTATTGAAGGAAAAGGGATAGCTGATTTTTTTTTTGTAGGGGGCCCCCCTTCTTTTTATTCACAACACCCATGCTTCCCTACCCCACCCTTTCCTTCTCTCCTCCTTCTCATACATTGTCCCTCCTCCGTCCAACTCTGCATTTTCCCTCCATTTCACAATAATTCAGATGCCAAACATTTAAAATGTTTGCAGTCCTAATGACTACGTCTGTGTACTAAATTATACACATTTGACAACTCTAAACTGTGAGGCATCATATTAGAAAAAGGGATAGCTGATCTTTTTTTTTTTTTGGAAGAAGGGGGCCACCTTTCTTTCTTTTTATTCACAACACCCATGCTTCCCCACCCCAACCCTTTCCTTCTCTCCTCCTCCTTTTCATACATTCTCCCTCCTCTGTTCAGCTCTCCATTTTCACTCCATTTCATACTAATTTATTAGCAGTTAGCACCCACTGCTACTAAGGGCTTAAGGTAAGTTCCTACTTCTTCATTCTTGCTTCCTTTGCACCAAATCCTCAAATATATTTGTGATTCCAAAAATGGTGGATACGTGTAATTTGGTAGCTTCAAGTACAACAATGGGAATTCAAATTCATGTGTATTTTCTAGAGGTGTGCAAAAAACCTAAACAGATAAAAAATCAAATTGGTCCAGATTATAAACACCTATTCATTTTGAGAAAAATCCAAATCGATCCACTTCGTAAACAATGGAACTAATCAATTTTTGAATAAATAAATCATACATGAGTATAAAGTAGACAATGGAACTAATACACTTAAAAAAAAATTGATCCATTTAGAAAAAATCAAACCAATCCACTTTATAAAAAATGATTGCAGTTAACCAAACCATTTTCATAAAAAGGACCAATTCAATTCGGATCATATTTTTGAAAAATCCGAACCGTGAACAACCCTATTTATTTTTAATAATAGTATAAAGAATAAATTTTATATTATTTTCATTGGCTATTTGAAAACATGAACATTTGTAATTTAGTGATTTCTAACTTCTTCATATCAATTGGTGATTGCTTCTCTACATGTCCTCAGCTCAGCAGTGATTAGATTGGTTTTCACAATTGTGAATGATTTACTTAGTGACACTTTAATATAAATATTTCTTTTGTTGCAAGAACCAAATTTTCTAAAATATATTTTTTTTTTCTTCAACAAACTTTTATTTCCATTACAAAAATAATTATAATTATTTGAGATTATAGGTGATTTTAATTGATAGCATTTACTTATATTTCCTTATGACCCCTATTTATATTTTATGGTTAATACTTGACTTAAAATTGTGGAAAAATCAGTCATGATGGATTACTCTACAAATGTGATTTTACGGACTATGTGGTCTATGTGAGTTTATATTTGAGAGTATAACAATTTGAGTGCTATTTTGGAAGAAATTGAGAATAGAAATATTCTTGATGTTGATGGATTGAATCAATTGTTGTTTTCACTCAAATGTCATGTTTTAATGCACTCATGATGGTTTCCAAGTTAGATTATCAGATTGTTGCAAAGAAGAGAATAAATCACCTAACTATGAGATTTCGCTGGCTGAGGCATGGCCCAAAGCAAATGACTTGGTGGCTTGAACTTGTAATGTGAGGAACAACCACAATCATGGCAGCTAAAATCGGGGGATTCAAATTGTAAAATCACATGATTTTACAATTTTAATCCCTCAGAAAGATTCAAATAGCCAATGAAATTGCATTTGGAATAAAATTCAGATTCAAGTTGAAAAATTGCAAAAAAAAAAATGCAACTTTCTGGTTTCACAAAACTGACTTGTTCTTGACCCAATTTCACATGCTGACCCTTTTTCATTTTTGACATGGTCTTAAAGTTAGTGGCCCCGGATTACGTTCAACATTGTTTGAAGCTTCTTCTTTGCCTTGTGCAACTGTGGGCCCTAATCAAAGCTGGTGCTGCTTCTACACAGAGCATCTGCAACATTGAAACCCGACCCTGACTGACATTCTTCCTCTGTATGAGCAATCTGTCACCACCATAGTCATTTGAAGTTCTATTCTTTGCATCAGCTATCTTTTCTTCTCTGTTCGTATGTACTTTGCTCGAATTTATTCTCTGTTTGCTGTTAACAGGTTTGGTTTTTTATTGGCTTTTGTTTTTCTTGTTCAAAACCCACCCCCTCTTACACTCTTCTTATTCGAACCCACAACCACCTTTTATTCTGCAAACTTTTTAATAGTTCTGAACAAAAGTGGAGATGGCCTCATGAGAGACTGGTCATGACACTATAGGGGCTGGTCAAAGCTCAGGTTTTGGTGGTAATCCTGGTGCATGAAGCTCCAGTGCTTTTAGTGCTAGCTCAAGTATGGCTTCTAAATTAGTCCATCGGAAGCCTCATGGAAGCAAGTGTAATGTGGGATGGAAGCATGCAGTTTCAGTTGAAGGCACTACAAGGCATCAATGTAAATTGTCATAAAGTATATATAGTTAGTGTTTATAGGATGAAGAATCACATGACTTAAACAAGTCAGAATGTTGAACCTTGCAAAGTTGTTCCTAAAGATTTCAAAGAAGATATTGGAGGTTGTGACTAGTTAGCAAACAAAATTGATGAAAAAATCAAGGATGATGGAGCAGTCTATAGAAGCTGGGATAAAAAAGCAGTGAAGTGGATGATATCAAGAATATTGGAATTGGAAACATATTGAGAAAAAAGGAACTTAGAGTTAGCTGCCAAGGCACAACCAACACTATGCTTGAGAAAAAAGCAATGTACGTCTAAGGAATATTTTTCATTCTTGTTCACTTTGTTTATTATGTTGTCATTGAGTTGAGTGTGTGTGACTCACCCAATCATTATTTTTCCTCTAGAATCAGATATTTTTTAGTGGCAGGTTCCTGGGTTCCTGGACTTCATTGATCCTCCCAAGCATACCCGATTCTTTACAGTAGGCTTCCATGGCCAATGAGAGTTGGGGTGTTAAGTCAACTCCAGTATATTGCAGTCATAAAGTTGGGGTGTTCTGATTTAGTCATCTTTCAGTGACGTCGCTGCAGAGGGTGTGTTTGGGACAGAAGGTCATGGATGAAAAGTGAACAGAGGGTAAATTATGATGAAACTTTCCAATCTTTGTGATGTATGAAGTTAATAAGGAAGCCACGTGGCAGCCAGTCAGTTTAATTCTGATAATTCTGTTATGATTTCCATTTTTTGTGTTGTTAGTTGTTATAGTTAGTTGGTGCAATGCACCTCTATGAATAGCAAGCTCTAAACCGAGCTCAGGGATTGGAAAACAATTCTTGTAATCTTTCTCTCAATTAAATACAATTATTTGGATTCTATTCTTCTATTGGAATTCCTAAAGTTATGTAGTTCTTCGAATAGTTCATATTCCTAGAACTACCTTCATCACTTTGTTATTTTATAATCATCATTTAACTCTCTTGATTCAAAAATAAAAACCTTATTCTCTCTTCCCTTTCCCTCTAAAACACTCATAATAGTTATGAAAACTATAAATTCCTCCGAATTTAGTAAAGAAAAACTACGCCCTACCCCTCCAAACACCTGCATCCAAACATTACCCAACTTGATCAGCTGGCCAGTTGGAACAGGAATAGAACGAAGTCTAAAATCCGAATCTCATATGTATATATGGTATGTAGGCTAACTAAAATATTTGACTGGTATTGACATACACGCTGATTAAAAATTGTCGATAGGCAATCAGAAGCAAAAAGTTAACAAAGAAAAAAACGGAAACTATGAATCGTCCATTCAGTGTGGAATCACAAGATAAGCAATGATGTTGGCATATTCACTAGGCATCTGAAGTTTACCTGGTTCAAAATTTTTTGACTGGCTTCATCAGACAGCTTGCTTTTGGAAGATGGAGCTTGATCTGGGTCAACTTGAGACTGCTGCACGGTGGAATCAGGGCTAACATAATACTGATGCGGGTGATGATGAGACCGGTAGTGAACCGGAACGTGATGCTGATGAGCAAGATGATGATGGTGATTCTGGACCGGTACGACATGGCCTTGAATCGGTATATGGAACTGTGAAGTTGGGGGCGGTGAGTAAACGTGCACCATACCTGAAGCCGGAGGAGGAGGAGGAGGTGGTGCAACGAGCCTAGGTTGCTGCAAATCGGTCCGTGGGGTGGCTCGAGTGGGCACAAATTCTGGTGCCTGTGCGTTGAGCCGGCTAAAAGAAACGCTCCTTGAAAGAGATGGATCTGACTGCGATTGTGCAGTAGACGAAGGCGGCGAGACATCTGGGGTTTCTGAGAGTGACTCTTGAGCCATTTTCAACGTTTTTCTTTTCGTTTTGGTGGACGATGTAGCTGCCGATGCTGTTTAGATCACTTTCGTGTAAGGATGGGAAGTAGCAGGTTCGGAGATTTTGCTAGACTCACTGAAGGTAAGAGAAATATCAGTCAGACAGAGGTTAATCGATATTTATTTAAACCCCTAAATCGGTGTCGACGACGGAGAACAATTCTCAGATTTTAACGGAGCTTCTAATAGTGGATTATTTATATAGTCTAGGATTGACGATTTTTGATTGACAAAGGTGGACGCGGGCCACGAAAGCACTCCGGCCCATCAGCTCCATTCCGTGGACACGCCAATTCTAATGTGGGGAAAAGAGGAAAGGAATTATATCTAAGAAATAAAAAAAGTAAAATAGAACATATTTTACTATTTAAACATATTTTTTATTTTTTAAAATATTATTTTACTAATATATTTTTTAAAATTATATTATGAATATTTTAAAAATATGTTTTTAAGGATTAAAAGTAAATAAGATTTAGTTAAAAAAATTATCATATTTTTTGGGGGTTAAAATACATTTTAAAAAAAAATAATTTAGTAAATTCACTTACTTAGCAACAATAAGTATTAAATTTAAGATTTTTTTATTGTGTTTACATTGATAAATAATAAATTAAATAATATTTTTTCTATTATTTAATTTATTAAAAATAATATAGAATGGATTCAATATAATAATTTGTTTATTTTTTTTTCTTTTTTAGTGTGATGGTTACAACAATTTTTTTTATTGGAGTTGTTGGCAACTCCTTCCTTTTAAATGTTTATAGTTAGAATATTTGATTTTTTGATAGTAGTGTCCTTGCATTTGACAATGTATCTTTGTCATAATTTGATCATATTCATAAAAATGTATTCTTTCGTGTTGTGTAAAATATGTAAATGAAAAAAAACAATTGTAATTTTAAACCATTTAAATTTAATATATTTTTAAACTATTTTGTAAGTTTACAAAAATATATGTTAGTAAACATGTATATAAATATTTAAATTTAAAGGAAGGTTTTAAGAAATGTCCATATGAGCATACATTATTTGTTAAAATTGGTGTTGATAGAAAAATGCTCATTGTATGCTTATATGTGGACTTCCACCTTTAAGAGCAATAAAATATCAAATAGACTTCATACTGGGTGCTAGTCTTCCAAATAGGCTTATCTATAGGACTAACCCTCAAGAGACCAAAGAGATAGAGTCTCAAGTTGATGACTCGTTGAAGAAGGGTTGGGTTCAAAAGAGTCTTAGCCCTTATCCCGTTCCCGTTCTTTTGGTGTCAAAGAAAGATAGGCTATGAGTTTTGAGCTGCTGATGGAAGACCATCCTTGGAACTTCACGTGGGACTCATTACTAGGTCTATGGTTAAGAGAATGGAGGAAGATGGAGGAGACTCTATGCCTAGAGCTATACTCATCATGAGTGTGGAGTATTGATCCTCTACTAGGCCTATTTTAAGTAACATAGGATTTTATTACTTTATTTCCTTTTTGCCCTTGTATTTTGGGGTACTTTAGATGATAGGATTTTATTTTGTATTTTCATTTAGCCTTTGTATTACGGGGAAAATTAGCTTAGGAATTATTTTTGGACTTAAACCTTGAGTTATGAGGTCAAAATCCACTTTTTTCTATTTTTAGGTCAAAGGGTATTTTAGTTATTTTAGGAGGAAGGGAACCCACACATCATGTAGGGTTCATTTAGGTTGCATTTGGACTTGCATTACACAACCATGCAACCCTAAATGCACTCCTAGATGCTTTCCTACTCCTATATATACCCTTGGCCTACCACCTTGTGCACACTTTGGATTATATGAATTTGAGTGAGCATTTTTGCCTCAAATCATTCCTTAGTCACCTAGGTCTACACGGCCGCAATCTACCCTCTCCTCCTAGAGTGAGTTTAGGGATTCATTTGAGTGACCTTCACCTATACTTAGTGAAGAGAGCCAACTAAAGCACCCAAATACACCTTCCTTCTTACCTTTCCCTTGTTCGCCCACCCTTATTCTCCTCACACCCACTCTTTATTTTCTCACCCTTGAAGGAACGTCCAACACCCCTAACTCCCCTTGACATGAAAAGAAAAGCTTCTCTTCTTCTTGGATGCCATTCATCACCCCTTGGGGTGAAGGAGTCCATCAACTGGCAGTGCAATGACCATCCTTATTGTGTCATGTCGAGCAACGGGAGCAAAGACTTCATTGTAGTCCACACCAAATTCTTTATTATAGCCTTTACCAACCATGTGTGCTTTGTACTTATCAACCTTCCCTTTTGCATTTAGCTTAGTATTTAATACCCATTTGACACCAATTGTATTGTGTCCTTCTAGAAGATCAACAAGCTACCAAGTATTGTTCCTTTCAATTGTTGCAATTTTCTACATCCATAGCTTCTCTCCATTTTGATTCTTAGACAACATCCTCAAAAAACATCGAATCACAAACTGCACAAAAAGTAGAATGCACCAATTGATCCTCATTTTGATCAATTTTTTGGCCATAATAATCACCTATCCAAGTATATCTCCTTCTACTTCCTAGTGATCTCAACTCTCTATTAGGAACATCCAAGTTTTGAGCTACAACTTGCTCATCTTGAGTAATAGCTAGTAATTGATGTTCTGCTTCATCCTTATCATCAAAATCTAGAAAAATAAGTTGTTGGTCTGCTTCTTCATTACAATTCCAAAAACTTTATTCATCAAATACAACATCTCGGCTTATGACAATTTCTCAGTGTTAGGATTATACAATTCATAAGTTGTTGAAACATCACTAACACCTATAAAAATACACTTATCTCCTTTTTTTTCCAACTTGCTTCTCTACTGATCTGGAATGTGAGCATATGCAATGCACCAAAAAAAAATTTAAGTGGCTAACATCTGGTCTCATACCACTCCATGCTTCTTTAGGTATCTTATTTTTTACTGCCAACGTTGGGCTTCTATTCAGAATGTGAGTACTCCAATTGACTGCTTCAAGCCAAAAACTTGTAAAGATTCTACTCATTGTCAAAATACTCCTCACCATGTCGAAAATGGTCCTATTTTTCCTTTTTGATACACCATTCTATTGTGTTGTATATGATATTGTCAACTCCCTTTGAATTCCATGCTTTTTCACAAAAAATTGCAAACTCATTAGAGCAATATTTTTCACCATGACTTGTGTGAAGGGTTTTAATAAGCTTTCATGATTCATTTTCCACTATAGCCTTGAAGCTTTTAAATGTATAAAAAGCTTCTAACTTTTCCTATAAAAAATAGACTTAAATTTTTCTAGAAAAATCGTCAGTGAAAGTAATTATATACCTTATACCTCCATTGGATGTAAGCTTGATTAGCCCACATAAATCTGAATGTACTAGTTCCAAAACACCCTCTGCTCTCCATGATTTGCCACTAGAAAATGGAGAAACTATTTTAAAATAAAATGTCTGATTAAAATTTTCAAAATTGCTATAAAAAATTAAAAATCTTCACAAAATTTTGAAAAAAAGAAGTTATATAAAATTTATTAAATAGTAAACGTCAGGTAAAATGTAGTTAAAGTCATCTATAAGTAATATTTTATGTATTAATATTAATGAAAAATTATGTCATTATTAAAAAACAATATAAGTAAAAACTGTATTATATTTTAAAAAATTTATATTCATGTTTATATATTATGGAAGTTGTCCAATTATCCATATATTTTTAAAGAAATTTTTTTATTACTAGCAGGAAAAAGACACTATGTGCCTGCATTGTATTAAAATAAATAAATAAATAAAAGTTACTCATAAAAAAAGTGGTTATTGAAAAATAAATAAAAGATAAAATGATCCAAGTAAAAATAGAAACCAAAAGTAGTTATTGAAAGTGGTACCCCTTTATATATTAGTATTAATATAGATTCACTAGTTTCAAGTTCTTAAATATGACTAAAAAATATTTTTCTGATTTTTTAAAATTAAAAAGGTATAATGGTAAAAAAAAAGTGAAAACCAAGGTGGTTATCGAAAAGGGTATCCCCTTTATATATTAGTATAAATTTTAAAGTTTTTAAATAGACTTAAAAGTAATTTATTAAAAAAATATTTATTCATTACAACATTTTATTTAATATCACGTCTAAATAATAAACACGAATATTAATGTTATGAAAATACAATTTTCACTCTTTTTTTAGTGTAAAAGGTTTAAATTAACTTTACAATTTTAACATAATTTAATATAAAATTATTAATAAATTATTTAAATATGTACTGTGATCTGAACCATTTGATTGTATGATTGTAAGCCATGAGAAAAAAATTTGTGATCTTCGATAAATAAATAAATTGTAATTTGATTCACACAGAAATTGTCATATTATTAAATCAAGACTAATGAAAAGAACACTCAAAGCTGATACTATTTTATGGGCCGTAACTGGTGAGGGATGGCCCAATCTACGAAAGTACCATACTAAACCCAATTTCTTCCCCGCGGGAAAATGCAACAAACGAAGTAGAAGGAATGGAGGCACCGTTCTCAACCTCCTTTCTTTCTCCCTCCTGCAGTGTCTTCGAGTCCGAGGCACCATCGAATGTGGGACGAATCAACGCTGACCGCCTTCGCAAAGCATTATTTGTCGTTTTGTGATTGTTTTTGTGCGATTCGCAGTGTCGTTCAAGAACCAAAACGTCTTCACATAATTGCTTGTGCTAGAATCCTACAATTATTCTCTAAGTCGTGATTCTTGCTATTCAGATCTGATTCATGCGATTCATAGTGTGATTCAAGCACCAAAACAATTCGTTTCCAAGTGTAAATATCTTTACCTTATTTCTCTCAACTGAAATCTTCTTCTTGTTGCGTGAAATTTTCAACTTTAATAGTGCCATTTGTTGATGAAGATCAGAACATTCTTCCTAAAGCCCTTCAATCTCTGTCTCTTTTTGCAATTTTCTCTTCATTCGCTTCTTCTACATCCATTAAAACACTAATCCTTAACTTCAACTCTTCAATTTCGTGCATCTGACTCCCTAAAACAAATCCACCAATAGATGTGTTGTCCCCATCTTTAACTCAAAGAAAAAAATTACAACACTCAGGTTCCTGCAATCAAAATTGAAACAACATTGTTATAAATAAAGGAAAACCCTAAATCCACAGTTGCCATTCTTAAAGCCAAAAATGAATTCCAACTTACGTTCCAATTAGGGCATCTCCAAAACCTTTTACCAGGATTTTCTTTGTTGTGGGATGTCAAAATGACACATGTTTCTTACATTT